CCAGCTCCTCAGGAGGCTGAGGCAGGAGAATTGCTTGAATCCGGGAGGTGGAGGTTGTAGTGAGCTGAGATTGTGCCACTGCACTCCAGCCTGGGCAACATCTCAAAAATAAAATAAAATAAAATAAAATGATAAAAAGGGTAATAGTGGTATTTTCGTTTTTGTATACTGCCCTGAAAACAGGCACATGAACAACCTGTTACACACACAAATTAAATGGAGAGTTTGCATTTAGGATGATGCCTAAATCCTTGTGATAAACTAGTGAATTAGGGACCACCTTTCTCACCAGTCAGCTATTTACCTTTGAAGTTAAATAACTTAATAGAGGTTTAAAACATACTGTACATATTTTTTTTTTGTTCATCATGGGGGAAAACACTATGTCTTTGTTTTGTTGGTCAGATCACATTATTATACTGCATAGAGACAGTTCCTTTGTCCTTAGGCCTCGCTATGTTTTCTGACTGCTGGGACATCCTCCTGTTGCTCTTGTCTTTGGGCTTCAAGTTGTGATTGCTAATGGCTCATTTGGTCTTCCTTTTGACTTGATACCTGATATACTCTGCTCAGGGAAATCCTAGGGAAGGATTGCTGAGGGTACTGCCGACAGGAGAGGAATGAAAAATCTTAATTAGCAGGATCTGAAATTTGATCACAAGATCTGTCTCCAAACCAGAATGGTAAAACTTGACAAAAAGGGGGAAGAGAGTGTGATGGCCGAGGCATGTCTACAAATGGTTTCTATTGTACTCCAGGTACACTAGGTAATGTTAATAAGTTGCCCAATAATATTCTTTTTAAAATACTTTCTCCCACCTACCCTCACTTCTCCAAACAAAACAAATCAAGTAAGCAAACACACAAGTAACAACATCAGAGAGAAAGACTTCAGATTGAAATCAAGGTGCTAAAAGCAAGCAAATATAGCCACTATATAGTTAAATTAAAGGTTATTAAAAATGCTTCAGTGTGTTTAATGGTACCTCATATTTGCTTAATAAACCTTCTTTATGCATTCACTGAATTTTTTATGGTTTAATATCATGCCTCTTTAAAATTGCATAAGTTTGAAACTTGGCTATTGTGTGACAAGATAGTGTCACACACTAGTTTTTGTAAGTGTTTTGTAAGTTGCAGGTTTTTCTTTTTCTCTTCTCTTTGGTTTTGAGCTAAATATTAATAGGAAAAATTTTGCCAATTCTTTAGTGAGATTTTCATAGAATATGTACATTTTTATTAATTAATTCTAGTGATAACATTTTGTTGGATACGTAATTTGGGTAATAGCAATACATGTTTCTTTCTGCGTATGTGTGTTCCTTACAAAAATCTTCCTGTCATTAAACATTATGATGTGAGTATAATTTACAGGTTGAAAACATAGCCTAACCCATACACAAATAAGAATGTTAGAAACATCTTGCTTTAAAGATGGGCCAGAAATCTGGCTGTAGTAGAATTTCTGGTCAGCGCACACAGATGTCTATGGGGAGTTTAAAACCACCTTTTTTTTCAAGAGTCAATTCAGGGGTATTTCAGGCTCTACTTGTAATCTTCAAGTAGAATGGAAACTGGGTTTTGGGGTGAGTTAACCCAAATAGCCTTATCATTACAGACCCATGAATTTTTTTTTTTTAACCCACCATTTTGAGTTCTTATCTTGCTTCCCACTAATGGCAGAAAGGTCAAAAGAGCATTTACTGTGTATCCCAAGTGTAGACTAGGTCACTGCTAAACATTCAGCTACACTTGTGATTTTGTTTTGATTTTGGAGGTAGGAATACTCTGAAAGTGCTGTGCAAAGGGTAGCAAGAGTTTTATCAAATATTTTGGAAAAAGAAAAAAAAACCTGAGATGTAATCACTGAAAAAACAATGCCTCGGTTGGAACTGAGGTTTTGGCTATATGCAGGGGACTGAAGGTGGTTTTCAAGTCCTGGTTAAGGCATCCTTTCTTGGCCTGTACAATTCCACCTTCTCTCAGACTGACCAGTAGAGGGCACTAGACACAGGGAATAACAAGCCGGATGGCAGAGCGCCCCTGACATCCTCTCTGAACCTGTATCTTTCCACTCTGCTCTGTCCTCACTATTCCGTGTCAGTTTCCCTGCGTTTTGATTTTGGAAGTCTATTTTAAGTGTTTGGTATACCATCCTAAGTCTGTTTTAGGTTGAAATGGAGCAAAAATAGTTAAAGGAAAAACTATGTAGCCATATTGTTGGCCAGCATTGCCCACCGTGGAGGGAAGATAAAAACATTGCTCAGATGGGCGTTCGGCTTTCATAAAATCAGCAGCTTGGGGTGGCATCTAGCTCAGCATACAGCCTAGGATTTAAAAAAATCAAACAGAACAGTTATGGGAGTATAAAAATGATCATTTTCAAAGTCATTTTTGGCTAGAATCCTATTCTGCTGAAGTGGGAAATGTCTTCATTCAAATACATTGTCACTAGATTTCAGACAGCTACTGCAATTTTAAGCATGGGTGTTTAGAAACCCTATGTGGTGGAAATTCAGATTCTAGATTAGAGAATGGAAAAAAATAACTTGAGTCTGAAGGAAAATAAAAGGGAGTTATAGACATTCTCCAACAACAAACTCAAATCTACTGTCATACTATTATTAGCTCACTATAATCCACTGGAATTGGATTTTACTTGGGAATATAACCTCTTAAATATGAAACCTCTGCTAGACTGTAAACTTGAGGGAATGAACTGTACCTAAGTTAATTTTGGGCACATAGGAGACCCTCAATACATAATTGTTGAATAAAACATTTTATCAACAGCAATCTGGAAATATCTGTCAGATGATAAGAAATAATTTCTTCAGGAGAGAAAGTAGAATTGGAATTATGGCCTGAATTCTAAATTTCCTATAAATAATAAGTATTTAGTCTAAATTTTATGCAAGTGCATGCCTATACCTAATATAAATTTCTCTGCTTAAAAACATATTTAAATTTACTTACATTTTTCTTAGTCTTTCTTCTTTTTTTCTGTACTTATATCTTTGGCTGGCCTTGGGTGACCTTATTATTAAAGACAATCCCCCACTTCCCTTTATTTATATGTGTATTTACAGGTTAAAATCCTTTTAGACTTAACAAGGAAGAGATTATGGTAAATAAAGATTTATACAATTAAGTTAGGCTGTTTTAAAAAGGCAAGTAGAAGAAATGGTCATTGAAACCACTAAAGGATAGCATTTATGTCACTACGTCACAATAAATACTAAACTGAATAATATGAGGTGTTCACCAAGATTTTGAAGTTGGGACCTTTCCTCTTTCTTAGTAGGGATGGGCTTTCTTTTACTTTCTCTCTTTTTTTCTTCTTCTTTTTTGTTCTGTTTTGGGGGAGGGCAGTACAGTGGCAGAATCCATATGGATCTAGAGAATAAATACCTTGAGTCAAACTAAGTAGTTTTTAAATATTGAATTTTAAAAATCTTTCATTTAGGAATTTAGAGGACTAAGCAATGATTAATGATAGATCCCTAAAATGTTGCCGATAGTTAATAGGAAGAAAAAGCATTAAAATGCTTTGCTTTTAATAATATAACCATCAAACACACTATTAAAACATAAACTTTTAAACAGACTTTTCCACTAGTATTAAATTTTGCTCTAGTGATTTGTTACAGACTATAATTAGCTATTTTGACAAGCAATATATCTAATAAAAATTTATTTTTCATTGTATCAGATAATAAGGAAAGACAACACATAACCTCACTCAGACGAACAATTTGTTATTTCAAGTGTGAAATCTAAACTGTGATTCTAAAATAATTACAGATTAGACTATGCCATCCATCTACTTTTTAGGAAAACAGTTCTTTGGAAAATCATTTCATTTGTTTCTGTTGTGTGCTTCCCTGGCTTGATAATTGAATGGTTTTTCCATCCTCAGAAAAGACATTTTTCAGTAACCCAAATCCTCAGCTTGGTTTTAAGTGGGCCAGGCAGTGAGCTCCATGAAGCCACGGGTTGTACCCTAGCACCATACCGGGATGCTCAACTAGTATTTGAATGAATGAACAGTGAAATGATTATCAAATTTAATTAGACAATATTTTTGAACTTAGAAGTATTTCTAAAGTTCTATTTGCTTTTGTTTCAGATTAAGTGTATTCTGCCACCCTCTGCTTAATGAGTATGTCATGTGATATCATGAACAATGAATTATTTAACCAAGGAATGTATATCTTACAGTCAAAATTCCAAATTGGGAAACATATATGCAAAAGATGGTCAATGCCAGTTCTCTCATGTTTTTACCATTTGGCATCATCTACTGTAGCTTTAAAGAAACTGTGTGACTATAAATACACCTCCAGTTTTATTTACATATTTTTGATATTATTAGAAAAAAAAAATCAAGCCTAACTAAACATACTTTCCTGTAGTATATTGGAATGCCAGACTTGAAGCCAGATGACGTGGATGAGGCCAAGTTCTATTCACCAGGGACGGGTGTGAAATTGAGCAAAATGTATAACCCCGCTGGTCCTTTACTGAATATTCAAAGGCTGTTGTGGGATAAGAAACTATAAGTACTCTGTATACATATGGCTTTTTTTTTTTTCTATTCAAATTTCAAGAGAAAATAGTTGAATTGTTGACTCTCCTAGGCCAGTGTCTATAGGAGAGTGAGACTGTTTTGAGAAGAAATTAATGGGAAGACACTTGGCACATATTCTCCTTGTTACCAAATCTAGTTATATCAGGATAATACTTGATCAAATGCTTGCTTCAAAGCAGCTGGTTGTGTCACAGTAGAGAAATTTCTAGTAAAAATGTTTAGAGATGAATCAAGTCAATTCCAGGCACCCACTTAGCATATCATCCTTGTGTGTGTGGTCTGACTCAGGACACACGTTGATGCACCCATTTCTATCCTCGTAGGATTGGACTCAATCTTTGACCTCAAACAATATTGTGGCAATTTGTGCTGGTTGTTAAGAGAGTCAGAAGAATCAAATTAGATCAAATTAGCCATATGTGGAACTGAGTTATTTTGTAGTCATTCAGATAATTCTCACTTGTAACAAGGGGTGAGCGCTCTCAGCAGCAGAAACCTCCAGTGGCCCTCAGGGAACCAGTCTCTGTTCCTGCCATTCATGCAGTACATCTCAAACTGGGGATCTATTTTTCCAGGGGATACAAAAGACGTATTTAAAGTTATACAAGTATCCATTTTACTAGTTGGTAAATAATATAAAACATTATTTTAAAAATATTTAAACACATGGAATATATAAAATTATAAAGTAAAATGCAGCATTTACATGAATTTTTAGTGTAAAATATAAGACTTCAAAAGAACTCTGTGCTTGGGACATTCCCAGACCATTCCAGGCACACATGTTTATTCTCTGCGTTACGTGCAGTTCGTGGAAAAGGCTTAGGAAGTGTTACACAAGTGCATCCTGGGAGCCTTCAGTCCCCACACTGCCTCCTTGTGAAACACTGAAGTCAAAGATGTTTTTTAGAGGAGCATTTTCTTTTTTCCCTAGCTGAAGACTTTTGGCTCAGAGGAACTAAGAAAAATGGAAGGATAAGCTTTCCATGGGTTGTACTAGAAAATTCTCTAAAACTTAAAAAAGTACCTTAGAATGAAGAGAAAAAAGATTTTGGGGAGGATGCTTCTAGGGAGGAATGTCTAGGATTCTTTGACTAGGCAAGCTTTCTAATATTAAATATTCTGGAGCAGTGTTCTCAGCAGAGGGCCTAACAGACATAGGAAAGGTGGGCATCAGTCAATTCTTAGTGCATTAAGACAAGTCCACTTATACAGAAAGATGAATAAAAAGAGTTGAGATTCATCAATAAGAGACGTTTGAAAATAATTGCTTTATGAGGCTATGTAAATAAAATGATTTTCATAAATTATTTGCTATTCATCCAATAGCAGATATACCTGTTTGACCTTGAAAAACTATAGATAGAAAATTCAAACACTCTATTTACAAAACTGATCAATATTTAGCTTTAGACACTGAAATAAGCATGAGTAATGTAAATATCAACAATTAATGACCATAAACTCTTAAAGGTTATGTTTTGAAACATGATACACTAAAATCACTAAGATGAAAATCACTAAGAAATTCTAAGCACAGTGAAAAAAGAAATGTTTAAAATTATTTTTAGCAGTAGGTCTGCTTGTGTTTCAACTAAGATCAAAACTTGTTTTCTTATCTGAGATATAATGACCAGATTCTGTTAATGAAGAAATGTTTTTCTTTAAAGTCTTAAATAAGAGTCTAAATATTTGGGCTATTTTTTCCTTTTAAAAATAAAAAAAAATTTAGAATTTTTTCTTTAAACAATATATTGTGCTTGAAATTTGGCCCAGCATCTTCCTATTTCCCTGAATTTTACACACGCGCGCACACACACACACAGACGGGTACAAAGTGCTGAGGCAAAATCTGGACCTTCCTGGGAGACCAAGGAATCATATTAAAGTCTTATGGGACCTTGGAAACAATTTTGTCTTGATTTTTACTGGGGCAAAACTGAGACCAAGAGAGGTTGTACAGGCTTGCCTAGAATCACACATCTGGTGGTTGCAAATTTCGACCAGAGCCTCGATTCCTGTGAAGCAACGTGAATTAAGATGAGCTGGGTTCTAGCACAGACTTCACCAACAGGCAATCTCTGGTCAGTGCCTTCACTGCTCTGGATTTCACCGTTCCCAGTAAAAATCTCTGAAAGTCATTTTGAACAAAGAGAGTCCCAATCACCCCCTGAAAAGGTTGGAAATGCAAGGGGGTGTTTCTAGTTGCTGTAATTATAGGAGGGTGTGACTGCCATCTGTGCTCTGGGTTCTGTAATTCATATCCAGAAAAAGGAACAACTTCCTCCCACACATTGCGGTGTCCCCCCACCTCACATCCCATGTTGAGAAATATAGGGTGACCCGTTACCACACCTGGGTTCTTTTCGTAGCAACTAATTTCCGAGCCAACTCTATGAGTGGCGGTGGCAATGTCACTTAAATGACTCTGCTTTTAGTTTGTCAGGTCACTTTTTGGAATTTCCATTTTGGCATATCTGTATTCTATTTTTAGAACTTTAGTTAGAAAAGGTTATGTTATATTGGATACAAGTGGAAAATACAGTCATCTTTAGGTGGCCAAAATGCATTTCTTAAAAGAACTAATTTCCAAATGTAGACTGCCATTAAAAACATTTAATTGTATGATATAACCTTTTAAATAATTTCAGGTTTTTAAAAAATGCATTCCTGTAATCGGCTGTGGCATGATATATAACTTATTGGCAAAATTTCAAATATTTTGATATCTGGTCATTAAATCTTGCCCATGTCTATGATTTATAAATGAACCACAAATGCCACAACTAAGCAGAAGCAAAAAAGTAAAATGCAGCCTATGAATTATATCACAAATAAATAAAAAATACTGTATTCCTTTAAACAAATGTACTTATAAGAGCTTTATAAGTCAAAGCAAGATATGCGAGATGGTTTAAGGAGAGGTTGCAATTTTGCAACAGGAAGTCTGTACAGCTCCTCCAGGCAGTAGCTGTGAAGGAAATACCTGTGTCTCAGAAACTTGTTTCCATGTGTTCATGACACTTTTGCATCCAGGCCCCATTATTTACAAAGTTATGCATTTTGCAAGCTCACAGTACCTTATTCCTCATAATTACGAATGCATGCAATGACATTTCATCCTTTCATATGAAAATTCTAAGCTTCAATGTAACATAAATGTTAAGACTTGAAAATCGGCCTACAATTTGAAATGAAAGGATCAAAAATGTCAGACATTGCAGAATACTGGTTCCTAATAGAGCTCTTTTTATTTGTTCACTGTTCTTCAGTCATTTTTGTTGGTTTGTTACAAAATTCAGTCTTGACTCTTTATTTAAACAGTATTTAAGCTAAACTGTTCATGCCATGCAAAAATAACATTTTATGCACTTTTTTTGGGGAAGGCTTCCCATTTTTTTAGTTCACAGGCATTATTAACCTCATTTTTAAGAAACAAGTTTTTTTTTTTTTTTTAATTTATTGCTTTTGTAACTAGTCACATGCTGGTTTCACGTGTGGGACAATAACCTGTGTCTCCTGGGTTGGAATGAATTTCTGGGGCAAACAAGTGGTTTTCCATCTTGCACCCTTCTTGACTGTCCTTTTTGACTTCACTCACAGCATGGTAAATGTCTTGCCTACAGTTGTGACCTGTGTCCTGCAGGGAGGAAGAGTCCACACTGCCCTCTTCTCTTAAAGGGTCTCTCCCATCACTAGGCTTATCTGCAAAGCAATTTGGGCTGGAGTCCCCCTGCTTCTCCTCCCTTGCCCCTGGGAGCTCTAAGAAGTCTTCGTCTTCACCAGTATCTATTTCAGTGAAGCTCCTCCTCTCTCTTGAAGAGAAAGGGAACAGTTTCTGCTTGGGAAACCTGGGAGACAGCCCTTTGGAAGGTCCCTGACAAGGTGCTGAAACCTCAGCACCCAGCAAGGGTCTGTCTCCCTGGGAGGGGGTTTCTTCTAAGAGGATGGTACTGATGTGCTGCGGGGTGGTGAACGAAAAGTCAGCTGCTGTGACTGGCAGTGGCCTGGCTGTGCTGGGTGGGGTCTGTGGTGCACTGCCTCTATTTTCCTTAAAGTTCACTTTGAGGGATCTGGACTTTAGTGGCTTGCTGCCTTTTAGAGAGCTCTTAGGACTGTCGGTGGCATTGTCAGACTGCAAAGGACTATGTAGCCCACATTGGGAGCCACTGGCATCGAGGTTCACAGTTATATCGACTGGGGCATACTCCAGCATGCCATCCCTGGCAGCAGGCCCTTTCTCTCTGGATAGAGTTAGAAACGGGGGGCCCCTAGCTCTTTGGTGCTCTTCTGTCCCTGGGAGGTCTGTTGGGAACTTCATCTGCAAGTGAGAGGCGGAGGGCGGCGGCAGGGGCGATCTCTCTGTCTCTGTGAAGTCGGTGGCACAGCTGGTGAAGCTGTCGATGCTGGAGGTGCTCTTCATGTCCACAATGACCTCGGTCTGTGCCACGGCCAGCTGCTCCTGTGGACACACCACTTCTTCCATTTCAATCTCTTCTTCATATGCAGATGGCCTCTCAGGCTTTTCTTGGCAGTCTGTGTTTGGGTGAGAATGAGGCTGTGTCTTGGTGATTTCATTGTACAGCATCTCCAGTTTCTGGGCACTCAGATGCTGTGGGCTGGAGGAAGACGTGTTGTTCAGCTGCTCGTGGGAGTCTTTTTGGCTAACCTCCTGGTACTTATTCTCGAAAGACCTGTTGGAGCTTGTTTCCGACAGAGCCTTCCTGGCCCACTTCCACCTGCTTGGCGACAGGTGATTATCGTCGGCGGAGTCCTTCGTGTTGGCGGACTCTCCGGCCTTCTCCACAGCCACATCTATCAGTTCCATACTTCGCGCGAAGGCATCTTTTAAGTTCATAGAAACGATGCTTCCATTTCTTTTGGCCCGCTCAAGAGCCTCCCTCCTTTTAATTGCTTTCTCTTGGCGTTTCTGCTCCTTGTAAAACTCAGAAAAATTGTTCACAATAATTGGGATAGGAAGGGCAATAACCAGAACCCCAGCAATACAGCACAGGCCTCCCACGATTTTCCCTAGTAATGTCTTAGGGTAAATGTCACCATAGCCGACAGTGGTCATGGTGATGGTGGCCCACCAAAATGATGCAGGGATACTGGTGAACTTGGTAGCATCTTCATCCTTCTCAGCAAAAAATACCAGGCTGGAAAATATCATTATCCCCATGGCCAGAAACAATATCAACAAGCCCAGTTCATTGTAACTCCGCCTAAGAGTGAAACCCAGAGACTGTAGGCCTGTCGAATGCCTGGCGAGTTTCAGGATCCTGAGGATGCGCATGATTCGGAAGATCTGGACCACGCGCCTCACGTTTTGGAACTGTAGCACGCTCTTGTTGGACTCCGTGAGAAAAATGGTGACATAGTACGGCAAGATGGCCAGCAAATCAATGACATTCAGTGGGCCTTTGAAGAACTTCCATTTATTTGGTGAGGATAAGAATCGCAAAAGGTACTCCATGGTAAACCACGCAATACACACAGCCTCCACATGTGCTAATTGGCGGTTGTCATTGAGTTGTCCAAATTCGTCCGTTTCCTGCAGCTCCGGCAGTGTGTTGAGAGACAAAGCAATGGTGGAAAGCACGATGAACAGGATAGACACGATGGCCAGGATCTGGAAAAGAGAAAAGTTCAAGTCAGCAAATCCTCTTAGTTGCTTAGGCAGCTAGGAGACAGATGGGTCGGTGATTCTTCTACTAATATGGAACGCTCCAAGTTCTTCCAAGAAGATTATAAGAAGGTAATTTTACAACTTAAAATTCCCTAACTAACACAAATACTTCACTTAGAAGCCTAATGTACATTTAAATTCCATTCTCCCTCCACGCTCATTGTTCTTAGGAACATGTGTGTAGGCATCCACCATTTGGATGAGGGCCACGTATGGCTGGAATAGTTTTTGCGGGGAGTAATTATCTTTCCTCTCTTAGTTATCTGTAATTTTTCTCTCTTAACCACCTGGTTTGTGCTTTGTTAAGGGAATTGTCTCACATGCCACATAAGCTAGACAGAATTGATGATCTCTAGGAGTTTCATTCTACAATTAAAAATAAACTCAGACCGACACCTGGAGAGAGAACATGGCACTCAGTACAACAATGCTTCTTCTAAGAATGGATACTATTCACGTGGCAAGCACTGACATCAGAACCAAGTCAGTATGGCCTTTGTCCTCAGATGTGTGGACTTCTGGCCAGCATCATGTGGAAAAGGATATACACACTAACTTCAAAGAGCGCAGGAAGGTTTCATAAAGAAGAGTTTGAAAAACATCCCTGATGATTTCACTGCAGGGCTGACATTCCAGGTGGCATGATGTCAGACGTGGAAGAAAAGAGGAAGAGCTTAGAATGAAGTAAGGAGAGGACTAGTGACTGGGTTTTAGAGTCAGGCAATCTGAGCTCTGACCCTGGCTTTACTACTTATTGGGTGACCTTGGGCAAGTTATTTAACCTCTCTGTCTCAAAGTACAGATCTGTTGAATAAAGCCAACAATTATAGCTACTTCGCAGCTGTTATAAAAATTACGTGGCACACAGACATCACTAAATAAATGAAATAACCCAGAACTGCAGTCTGGAAGGACAAAGGCCAAGGACAGGTATGTGGAATGTCTGTAAAGCCATACAGGACATAGACAGCCCAAGTGGGGATTTTCTCACCAAACCCCAGTGTTCTAGATGTATGGGGCAAGCAGAAGGATGAAGATTTGAGGGTAATGCAAAGGAAGTGCTTCTTTGCTTAGTTAAATTGTGTATTTAGCATACTCAATTTTTGGTGGAGAAGGAGACCTCTCTTACCTAGTTTAGGTCTGGCTTGGTTTCATCTGACCTTTGCCAGTGACCTTGGCAGGTGTCATTGGTTTCAGTTATCATATGTAGCTCTGGGAAACATATTCTGACAGTGACTGTTTCATTTAGAGATTGAACATCTAGTAAACATTTCAAAGGGCAGTGATTAGATACTTTAACGCCACACAGCTCAGTACATATTAGATTGTTAAAAAATTAGTTTACTCTCTAAATTTCTCCACTTCTGGGTTATTCTCCTTTCACTTCCTCCCTTCTCCTCTTTACGTTTTTTTTTTTTTTTTGGGTGGGGGGCGGGGAGAGGGGGAAAGGTCTTGCTGTGTCATCCAGGCTGGAGTGCAGTGGTGCAGTCTCGGCTCACTGGCTCACTGCAACCTCTGCCTCCCAGGCTCAAGCGATCCTCTGGCCTTGACCTCAGCCACCTGAGTAGCTGGGACTACAGGTATGCACCATCACGCTTGGCTAATTTTTTTTTGTATTTTTCGTAGAGACGGGGTTTCACCCTGTTGCCCGGGCTGGTCTTGTGAGCCACCTGCCTCAGCCTCCCAAAGTGCTGAGAGCCACTGTGCCTGGCCCCTTTACATCTTTCATTGTTTTCTTCTTCCTCTTCTTCCAACTTCCATCTTTCCTCCTTAAATTGCTATAAAGTGAAACAATAGTATAATGCATTTCAGAATGTGTTGCAGAGTAAATAAAGATTTACGGACCTTTAACTTAATTAGTATTTTATACTTTTTTTTTTTCTTAGAACTAGGTTAAATACTTTCTACTTGAGAGTACTTTAGAATTTCCTTTAAAAATATGGATCAGTGAATCACAACAGAAAAATAAAGGTCCTCTTTAACTCCTCTAAGAGGCTGTGAAGGCTAAAGTTAGAAACTCCCTTGAGAAGATTTAGATAAATCCCTGGCTAATAGATTCAGATGGTTTTAAAGGCAAGTTGGGAATGCTCACCTTGAATGCCAACCCTCAGGGGCCAATGGCAGGGTAACATGTACCATATTCTGCCACTAAAATATTCCTGAAAAATCAGTGGTCAGATCCCATCCATTCCTGTGCTCTTATCATAATGAACCAAGGTATTTTTTGGGAGGTCACACTGTTGCTAATATATCTTTGGGCATTTTAAGTATTGGGCTTACTGCCATTCTTCTTGTACTGACAATCCATACTCTAGATTTTCCATATCTAATCTGTTCATTTGTTAATTTTGAATGCATTTTACTGATGTTTATCACTTCAAAGAGAGGAGAGAAGTAGAAATGCAAATGAATCCATTCTATTGTCTTCCACCTTTTGGCAAAGGATAAAGTGAAAGGTCCGAGGGTGCCTTCAGTCCTTGATTCCACAATCAGAGCTAGACTGTAGGTCACTTTACTTCTGCAGCTAATTTTGAGAAATCATGACGGAACACAGTAGAGTCCTGCTGTAGTCTATTGTCTAGTTGGCCACAGCTTAACAAATATGACCAGTTTAACACTTGGAAATTTGGCATATGCGCAACAGGACTTAGGGCACATTCTTGAAGACAAATAGTTACTAAGGGAAAAACTAATCATTCAAGCCCTTAGCTGTTCCACATTCACGTTAAAGAGAACCATAGTTACTGAAGTGCATTATTATCTGTCTCATGTTGAAATTCAATTTGTCAAAACCCATTTGCTCTCAATTTAGAGGAAGGACTTATTTTAAACATCTTGTGAAGCTTGGAGCTCTCCCAGAAAGACATCACTTTAGACAAATGATTCAATAAATACCAAGGTGATGTGTTGGTGCAATGAGCCAAATGCAAGTTTATTGTGTTATTGTACAGTTTTTTTTTTTAACACAATAAATATAATAAATGTGAAATTTTGCTTTAAGCTTGAGGATGCACTTCAAAACATGAATATTTACTTTATAGCAAGCTCTTGTAGCACTTATGTGGCAGGCCAGGTCTCACTAACGCAGGTCTCCGTAACAACTGTTTGAGCACTGACTGAGTGGTTAAGTTACATACTAAAAGCTGAAAGAGCCAATGCCCTTATATAAAGGCTGGAGTGTAACAAAAGCCCACCAAGAGTTTTGCCCAGGCCTTTCCTGGACCTTGAAGCATGACAAGATAATGAAGGAAGTCTTAACAGGACCTGTCTAGGATTAAAGAAGTTTTATTGGGGGTCTAAAGGAAACTCCCCAGGCCTCCACAAACAAGTTTTTTGGGGGTCTGAAGGAAGTCCCCAGACTTCTGTGATTTAGCAGGAGACAAGGGTAACCACCCCAGCACCTGGACCCATTTAGATTAGGTAAAGTTACTGAGGCTCCAGAGGAAGGTCTTCAGGACTCAGGCCTTTGTTATAGATTAAAAGAAGTCAATCACTTTTGTCTTCAGATGAATGCACACTTACATGTAGATATATAGCTTAGAATGTATATAAGCTCTGGAAAACTTTGTAATTTTGAGTTGGTCTGGAGATAATTTCCAGGCCTTCTCCCTGGTTACAGAAATAAACTCCCTCCTTTCTCAATTCCTCTGCATTTCATTATTGGGCCATGAGAATAAGCAGCCTGACCCTTGGTTTGGTCCAGGAACACTTAGGTATTGCTTCGCTTACCACAACCATTCACAAGTTAGAATCTCACTGTCTCAGGTGTGTGTTTGTTTGCTTGTTTTTAAGACAGTGTCTGGCTCTCTTGCCCAGGCTGGAGTGCAGTGGCACGATCTTGGCTCACTGCAACCTCCACCTCCCAGGCACAAGCGATTCTGGTGCCTCAGCCTCCCAAGTAGCTGGGAATACAGGTGTGTGCCACCATGCCCAGCTAATTTTTGTATTTTTAGTAGAGACAGGGTTTCACCATGTTGGCCAGGCTGGTCTCAAATGCCTGGCCTCAAGTTGATCCACACACCTTGGCCTCTCAAAGTGGTGAGATTACAGGCATAAATCACCATGCCCCACCTGCCTCAGGTTTTTAATCCCTTTCACCTCCAACAACTGACCTCTAGAGCTGGCAGGAGTGAACTATTTCAGCTCTAGCAAACAGAATTATGTGTGCATATGGCCAGGGAAGTGGAGATTCCAAACAATTAACTGCGTGATGTTGGTTAAACCCTTTGGAAATTTGGATTAGGTCATCTGCAAGGTCACTTAACCTCCAACATTTGGTGATTCTCTGTCTAAACCAAAACATTTCACTAATTCCAGTCATGTCTGTCAACCAAACCCAGGACAAGTCACAACTGATGCTGTCATTTTAGTTGAATGTCCAAAGTAAAATTTTGTTACATAATGAGCAAAACATTCAAAAGAGAAGACTGAAAAACATTGTGCTGTGTATGTTCTAAGCATTTAGTTACTGGGAATAGACATTCTTTCTGGATACAACCTTTTTTTCCCCCTTGAATCACTTGGATGATTACGTGATTTCTTCGCTTAGACACAGACATTTGCAGGATCGCAGGGAGTTCAGAAGAGGGCTCCCAGCACTCGCATTAGTAGGTACCAACATTGGCTGTATTGATTTCTGTTTGTGGGAGGAAGTAAAGCAGCCGGAGACCTGCCTCAATTGAACCAGCTTGTTGATTTTAGTCCTTTGAAGATAATGGATGTTTTGTGGTGGAAAGCAGCACAGGACCAGCAATTCAAACACATGGTTCTACCTCCGCTTGCTGCATGCACAAGCCAGGTCCCTCTCTGAGCTTCAGTTCTCTCATCTGCAAAATGAGGTGCCTCATACTTGCCTCGGTTGCCTCAGAGGGTTATTAAGGCTCAAACTGGATCATGTGCATGAAAGCATCCTGCCAAGTGCAGAATGTGATAAGTGTAAGAGA